TTAGGGGTTTAGGGGTTAGGATTTCGGGTTGAACCAAGCGAGATCATGTTCTTGCTATAAAATACAACAATCTATAGCCAGGAGGAGGATATGATCGTATTCTCTCTTGGTGACAATAGCATCCTGAAAAACTCTGGGCCTTCCCAGTGAGGGCCTTGATGAACCCTAAAACCTAAACTCTGATACCCCAAAATTCGCCAGTTAATAGCAGCTTGTGTTGAAGGTTTCGGGAATGGAAAAGAAGATGGACGCTACTCTAAAATCGGGGACTACATAGTACTACATAGGGCCACCATAGCGATCGGTTCCTACACTCCTCCTTTCTGGACCTACAAAAATAACCCCAAATAGTTCGCCGAAAAGATCTTAAACCAACCCCCAAGCAACCCCCTAAACCCGAAACATTAAACGCAACTCCAAACCCCAAACCCCTAAACCCATGGAAACCCTTAGTATCAACCGTATATACCTGCCTGGCCTAAGCACTAGACAGCCAAGGCGCCACTTGCCACACTACCTGGCCCTGTGCCCTGTCCTCCTGCACCTACCTTGAGCCTCAATTTTAAGAGTTCAGAATTAAGCGCTTAGGGTTGTGGACTTATGGTTTAGGCCTTAGGGCTGGGGTTCAGGGCTTAGGGGTAGGGTTCAGGGCGTAGGGCTTAGGTTTCAGGACTTAGGGTTTAGGGTTCAGGGCGTAGGGTTTAGGGTTCAGGGCGTAGGGTTTAGGATTCCGGGTTGGTGGAAGCAAGCTTGCACACCTAGAGTCCCGAACCTACTGAAATTCCAAGAAATTATGTGGGTTGCAGTCGTGCGGGGCTTCTGGCGCGAAAACGAAGCCCAAAGCTCAGACATTCAGGCATCTCAGGTAGAGGCCTAGCTGTTTAGAACAGGGCTTTGGGTATGTTAGATACCTGTCACATAAGGTGTCATGAAATATATATATATATATTCGAAAGCATTCAGACTGTTACATGTTTACATTGAAAACCCGGTTATAAACATTTATGGAAACCCCACGCCGATGTCCGCTTCATTTCCATTTGCTCAGCATTCTTGTGATAATAGTAATAATAATATATCCCTAAACCTGTATGACCCATGTCTAACCCCTACGTATTCCTCACGAACTAGGGTTTCTACCCCTAACCTTAAACCTTATACCCTTAAACCGGTTTCGGGCCTTGAGCCCTAAACTCAGACATAGCGGTCCTTCTGGAAGGCAATCAGGAGGGGCTAAGCACTTACCATCAACAGCGGTTTAGGGTGTAGTTTTTTTTACAGGACCTTTTCTCGTCTGTCCAAGCAAGGGTGTAGTTTAGGGCTTAGGGTTTTGGGGGAACAAGGTCCAATATGAACTATATGGGGACAATAATTATTGACTATATAGGGTTATTTGGGATATGTGTAGTGGTATGACGGGAGTCGTGCAGGGGGGTTTAGGGTTGAGAGTGTAGTACTTAGCGTTTACGGTTTTGTGGGGAGCAGAGGTATATAGAACTCCATAAAGACCACATAGAAAAGACCATTTCAAATGAAATGGAAAGCGGCATGCAGGGATCCCTTCTTGGGGGAGCCTAAACCCTATAAACCCCATTATAATAATACCCATCCTTTTTCCATGATCCCTGTATACCCCCATTATCGTAGTTTCCATCTCCTTTTCCATTATCCCTATATAAACCCATTAGAATGGTGTCCATTTTCTTTTCCATGATCCCTGTATAACCCCATTATCGTAGTTTCCATCTTCTTTTCCATTATCCCTATATAACCCCTATAAGATATTGGGGGCAAACATGGGGCGCCCATGTTTATTGAAACTCCATATCTCTTGCCGGCTCTAGGCTTCCACTTTTGCAGAGCCTGGCTTACACTAAGGGTTTAGGGTTTAGGGTTTCCGGAAAACGAGGAGCAACGCAGACCGAACCCTAACCCTAAGGCTCAAAATAGCCCAATAGCCTTGTATAGTATGGTCTTTGGGCCCAAAAGCCTTATATTATCAGTCCTTAGGGCCTTAGGGTAAGGGTCCAAGTACCAAATAATCATATACTTACCCCAAAGCTGTACTAGAACTACTATGACCCAAGTCCCATTGGGTACATGGACCCTTAGGGTATGGGCCATATCTCTACGCTAAACCCTAAATCCTAAACCCCTAAACCCTAAACCAACAAGAGTCTTACCCAATCATTGGGTACATGGACTCTTAGGGTAAGTGCTCGGCAAGGAAGGTTCTAGAGTACGGGTAGCCAAGCTGACGCGCGCACTTCTGAAGATGAGAGTCTTGAGAGTTTAGGGCTTAGGGCCTAGGGTTTTGGGTTTAGAGATTTAGGGATTTAGGGTTTGTGTTGCTGTTGAGGAACATCGAGTAAGTTACCATAATAGGGATGGTCTAAAAAAGGCTTTCCCCCCAATGGCAACCCAGCTTCTGCTCCGTGACCCCAACCCAAAGTATCCGTTTTCCCAACCCGAAAGCTGCTGATGTTCTAAGGCCCAAATGTCTGCATCACATGAGGGCCCATAAACTGACCCAACGTGCAGCTACCTTAGACCCCCTAGACCATAGATATGCATTCCCCGTATTTTTATCATAGTCCTTATATTACTGTAGACATCTTTCGTAAACCATAAACCCATGAACTTCACGTAGAAGGTGAAACCCCCCGGGGCAAGGTCTTTGGCAACGTGATGATGTTCTCCTTCAACTTAGCCCACTCCTGGCCAAAGATGAGCATTAATTAGCGAAATTAGGGGTTAGGGTCTAGCGTGTAGGGATGCTAGTAGAGCGTGGGATCTATAATATAGGCTGGGGATTTAAGGATTAGAAACTTAGATTCGAATACGGCTACAAGTCGAAGGTCTCCGCAGATGTCCCGAAACATGCGGTGGCTGCGGCATATGGGATTGCCAAAGTGAAGAACTGAAGTTTGAACATGACTCTAAGCACCGTGCACCCAGCACACTCTGTTGTCGTGCACTGCCTGTCCTCTTTTTGGTGGTTCGTCATCAATCATCATAGACGTAACGATAAACGACAATGATCAAAACCACTACTTTTTTCTACCAAGGCTTCTGCTCAACAAGTTTGGGGTCTCCCTCATAGCAAGACGCGAGGTTCTTCAATCGAGCATTGGTCAGGTGCAGCTGCGATTGTTAGGACGTGGAGCTCGAGCACATGAATCACTGCAAGTAACAGCTAGCACTGAGCCGTGCAACTATACAATCCCCATGC